TGACCTCGACACGGTTAAGACAGAGTGGATAGAATTGGAAAGGAGAGGCACATGGTGTTAGCGTAGCATGTCATTTATTAGTGTAAATTAGTTCCATGTAGATCGCACGTCAACCTCCCCTCTGCATCTGTACTTTTTTTCTCCACAACTAGTCAATAAAACGGATTAGCAAGTAAAGATCACAAAAGTAGGAGTAAATGTGGCGTAAAGGATTCTGGTTCATTCAGTCAAAACAAACACACGCACAAGGAACTTGGAGTAAGTGTTGTTGGCGCCACGCGGCCTACTTTTCCTACTCCATCCTCCTTCCTCCATCCTGCCTGCTCCAGCCATCGCTTCCCTCTGTCTCTAACTTCCTTGCCCCCCCCCATCCTTCATCCCTGCATTGTACCAAGCCAAAACATTGTTTTGTCTTCGTAGCAAAACAGGCGATTGGCCATCCTGAATTCGGACTATTTTTAATCCTGGTTAGTTGCTGCGGCGGTCGGAAAGCAAAAGTGGCCATTTATCACTCGTCATCCAGCTTTTTGGTGAAGCTAAGCCTCTCTGTAACTCTTCACATTTGAATCACTTCCCATCACAGGAATCAGCTATGTAGTGTGTCATCACTGGAAGACATGCTGTGTAATCCTCGTAGGTGGCCTCTGTGACCTTCTTAACACATGAAGCTTCCTACACTTTAAAGGCATTGGCTTATGTCCATCTTAATACACTTAATGTCCCCCTGTATCTTCTTTTTATTAGCCGTGCGTCTATGTTGCTCATTCTGCAGATTTTTACACAGTCCTATCAGCATTTGTTTAGCAGCCGTTTCTCAGGTTTTACGCTCACATCCTCTTTATATCATTATAGTTCATCTTTCACTGTGTGTAAGCCTGTGTGTCTTGCACGTAAATCAGGTTTTTTTTCTGATTTGAAGCCAGAGTACTGTGAAATCAAATCAATCTAAAATAAAAGCAGTTGACACATGACGTCTCGATCATCACTTCCCTTTCCAGAGATATTTACAGAAGCCACGATGGGCCTTTTTGCTGTAAATACGAGTGTGTGTAGCTTATGTTTTGTCCTGCGAGGAAGCTGTATCTGGTATTTGGTCTGTCCGAGCCTGCAGCAGCTATACACGGACCCCCCTGTGAGAGGAGTAGTTCTATGACCTACGCATGCACACAAATACGCTCTCATACTGTCGCATCGCATTCGGCTCCGTCCTGCAGGCAGCCTCCAGACAGACAGCGTGTCTGCCTCATTGTGTCGGTGTGGGAATCGTATTCGCAAGCTTGTCAGGAAGAGTATAATTAAATTCAAAGACCACAATAAAAATTGGGTCTGTATGCTAGTTTGTTTCTCAGAGGGCGCTAGTGGTTCAGACTGAAAAGGGCAGACATCTTGCTTACATGCAACATCAACAGAACCACGAGGGGAGTACTCAACACGACGGGATGAAACTGTGAACATGTTATTCACGATATAGTCACACTGAGAAGTCAAAAATCACAGTCACGGCTTTAAATAAGCGTGGGAATTATTACATGGGCCTTTTAAAAATAGCGTTTGCCTTTTGTTCAGTAGTCTAGAGTAAGTATGGCAATAAGATCATTATAATAAGAGAAATGGATTATTCATTGATGATACAAACTATCATGAATAGACCCTTTTACAGCCGACCTCGCTATAAATATGCGACCGCATGTTGGCAACGGACGGAGCGTTTTCGCCCCCAGCCATCCAGACGAGACAGCAAGCTTTAAACGTTGAATTGAAAAGCGTTACCAGCATCAAAATGTCTGGTTGTTGCATGTTTGGGGGGGGGGGGGGGGGGGGGATTTAGAATTGATATTCCAACAGCGGACTCCCGTTCTACAGAATTCCGACAGGCTCCCGGCCGCTTCAGAGCAACAGGTGTTACAGTTTATTGAGTGACCGTGTTTTTATAAGGATACCTACATGTTCTTTTAGTGTTTTCAACAGCTGCCGTCACTTCGAGCAACCACGGACACATTCGGCGGAGAGTCACCAGTTTGACATGGCCACTCGTTAAAACGCCATTTTCCTCCAGAGCTATTCAACATGTTGACTTCCACTGGACTGTTGAAATGCTCATGTTTGTGGGGCCCATTTTAAAAACTCAATAAAGTCAAAACTCTGAGTCTATGACCTTCTGTACACGACCACGGATAATGCAATTGGAAGCATCTAGTGACTTGTTTGCTCGTGATTTGTCTCTGGTGTAATGTTGTATGCTATTTTTTTACACCAAATCCATGTTTATATTTGCCCACTATATACTTGCTAATGTATTCTACCCACTCGCTAATGGCACACAGATCTAGAAAGTCAATTTGTTTAGGTTGCTTTCTAGTTCTTTGCAGAGTCTTGACAAGCTAATGCACTCTTCCGTACTTCCTTTCCCCAGAACTGCATACGTCATCATTGTTTACAAACAGAAGTCATTTCCTATGGAAGATTAGGAAATAAATGATCATTCCTCCAGCAAACTTGAACAATATGTGCAATCTTGTAGAGGTGCTGAAAAAGATTCCTGGTTGATTTGCCTCTTTTGAATAGTTCCACACTGCGCTGCTTTGTTCGCCGTCCTGCGGCGTGCGCCAATATCTTGTAGGCACCTTTCAGTCCAGATCACATCTGCGGCCAACAGTAAAACCCCCTCCAGACTCCAGACTAGTTCAGTAAGTCAGTCTGGAGGATTGTTTTGGGAATCCTCCCTCGTGATTCCCTGCTTTCTTTGTGTCTCCTCTCTGAAGCCTGTCTTCTGGCCTTTTTCAAAATCCCTCCCTCCCTACTCTCCCTACTCCCCCCCTCAGCTGCTCCCTCTTCTCGATATGCTCCTTAACCTCTTACCTTCCTTCCTCTTTCCGTTCCCTTCCCCCCTTTCAGATTTAACAGTGCGTCTCTCAAATTATTTTCAAGTAGCTGTATCAAATGGAAGTGTGTCGCTTACGCTTTTCAGGAACAATCCGTGCGTTACATTTACCTTGAGGCTACGTCGAAGAGACACAGAGTAGAAATAAAATGCCGTTAATATCAGAAATGAATTGTTCGGGAGTTAAAAATAATGTAGATTTATTCTTTTATCTTGAATGCGCGGTTCCTTATCTATTCGTTTCCTTTGTATTCTCGCCTTTCTCACGTTGTCTGTCGTAGCTTTCTTTACTAGCAGCACATGGAGCCCACATGTGCAGATCAGCTTTGTGTCAGACTTCACTCCCTGTGTGAGAGTGTGTTAGCAACAGACACCGTCAGTATGTCTGCAGTGTAAGAATTTGTGCACCTTTGTGTCCGTCTTTCAGAGCTTAAATTTGGAAATTCTGTAAGAGACCAGCTTATGTGTATGAAAGAGTGTGTTATAGTGTACCATGTGTGTGTGTGTCAGTATTTTTGCACTTTCTTTGCCAGCGTTGCTGCTTTCAGCTTGTGTGTAATGTCAACCTGGGTGTCCGTGTGTGTGTGTGTGTGTGTTTTTTACTCTGCTGACAGTAAGTCTGGTTGTCACCTCCAGTCTATCTCACACACACAGGCTGTCCTGCTCGGAACTAAATCCTCATACCCCGCCTTTTACACACACACACTTCATCCAGCTCAGACTTATTAATGCTCATTTTATAATTCTTTAATCCATGTGTGTGTGTGAGGTGTGTGTAACAGAAAGGATGTGTGTGATGTTGAGGAGAAAAAAAAAAGTGCCATTTGGTAAATGTGACACACAAGCGTGCACACACACAGCATGCTGTGCCTGTCTGTCTGTGAGTGTGTGTGTGTGTTGGAGTAGGGGGCAGTTGGGCAGGTGCAGAGACAGCTGGTGTGGGCAACTCTAACCGAGGGGGAGGACGAGAGCGAGGGAGAGATTCCTAGAGAATGACATGAATATAGGGTAGCAACTGAGCTGCAAAAGAGGGGGAAACGAGTGTTTGTACGAGAGAGTGTGTGTGTGTTGCTGCCAGTGGTGAACTGCTTTGATAGCACACACTGAGCTAGTGTGCTTGAGTGGGACAGATGGAGAAAGAGAGAAAGAGAGGGAGACTAGTGAAGCACTTTCCATAGAGCGACTGATTAATGAGAAGAAAAAGTATTGATTGGCCTCAGGGAGGAGGCGTGGCGAGAAAGGGAAAGAAAGGAACCAAGATGAACTCACAGCGAACTCAGTTTCTACTTTCACTCATTTACTGAGCCAAACATCTCTGAGCTAGAAGGCAAGGGTGCTCTTAACCTCCATATTAGAGGTCAGCTTATCAGTATCAGGCCTTAATTGCTTTTGCTTGAATTAAAAGTCTGCATTTTCATTTGTTTCAAATTGAATTACAAGCCAAATTATTTTGAGGGGATAAAGTTGTTCTCTAACTTTCTCTGCAGTTTCTAAACATCAACGCTGATTCAAAGGAGCCAATTTTAAGATCTGCAACGGCGTGTTTTCTCTTTAGACGTGACGGTCAGCAGTTTACGGGCCAGCTTTCAGCAATGCACTTGCCGCAGATATGAGCTGGCGTCAAAGCAATACTACGACGATTCCAAAACACGGCCTGACATTTGACATTCATTTGTCTACTTTGCGATAAGCGAAAGTGTTTCAGTTCCTTATACTTGTGTGTAAATGAATGCACACGCATTCAGACACAGAGTTGAGTGTGTTAGTATTGGACATATATACGTTTGTGCTCTTCTGCTGTCTTCACTGTTACCTGTTCATGTTGCCCTCTCCTTGCCTGTTTCTTTGTCTCTCTTCTCTCTACCGTGTGCAACACTACGAGGTGATGGACGGCCGCCGCCCTCTAGTGTTCACAAATGGACATGCATCGGTCGCTTTGCACCACGTCATGCAGCCGGACAGAAATGCCAGTGCCAGTGTATTTGCAGACAGCCACATGACATAAACACAGGGAAAGAAACCCTCATCAACCGTTCTATTCTTAGCCCATGTCCAATGAAAAGAGGTTGACTAATGGGTGTGTCTTAACTTTTACTCAACTTCATGCCACGTGCTACAGGAAGAGGCCATCCCAGAGCTGGAGATAGATGTGGATGAGCTGCTGGATATGCCCAGTGACGTTGAGCGGGGAGCCAGGGTCAAGGTAAGGAAACAAACATGCAAGGACACGCACGCACGCAAAAGACAAGATACATATTCAGACTGTCTTTTATTGTTTTACAGGACTTACTGGTTGAGTGTTTTAAACCTACTGAGGTAAGATTTTTTTTTATCTCTCTTCCATCCTCTTACCCAATGACACTTTACCCCCAGATTAATTCACTGTGCATTTTTTGTATTTCAGAATTCCCCACATGTGTTTTGTCCCTCCTGTCTCCCCGTAGGTCTTCGTCTCAGAGCTGCTCGACAAGATCCGAGGGATGCAGAAGCTCTCTACGCCTCAGAAGAAATGATGGCGTCCTTCCTCTTCCTCCCACATCCTCCCCTCCCCCTCAGCCCTCACCTCTCGTCTTCCTACTGTGCTTTCCATCTTTCCATCTTGATGTCAGTTTTCTTCCATTGACTATTTTCATGAAATACTTCAACTAATCCTTGTTTCCTCTTTTTCGATACACCCTCCGCTCTAAACCCCCGTTCCTGTTATTCCCCTCCTTGCCTGTTTCCAGCCTCCATAGTTCGCTTTTAACCTTCAGCGAAGAAGAAGAAGTAAAGAATGCATACTAGTAAGCAGGGGAAAACAAGTGATTCATTGGTCTTTATCCAGGCACTCTCCTTCTGTCTCTTTTTCCACTCCTGCTCCTCCTTCGCCCTTTGTTTGGCTTCACTCCTCTTCCTCATCCCGCCCTCGTACCACCCTCCATCTGTCTGAGGAGGAAGAGAAGAGGAGCAGAGACGAGATAAGTCCCATAATTACCGAGAGTTGGGCGGCCGCGAGGTGGGAAGAGGAACGAGAGTCTGCAACAGCCAAGAGAAGGGTGGAAGGGTGAACGGCGGAGTTGGAAACAGCCAATCAGCTTGAAGCAGGGCCTAATCATTGCGTTTGTCTCGACCAATGAGATTCCTTATTTCGTTATTTGTGAGGGGGTTATTAAACTTGTAAACGATCCAGCTACCAACCACGGTTCCTTTTGATACTTTCTAGTTCAGTTTGAGGGCACGGGGATATTCACTTGACTTTAGTTTTTCTGTAACTTTTTTTTGTTGGGGGCGGGTCATTACAGTCGGAGACATTTGCTACAGTGGTGCATTTAAAGACTGTCCTTTTTTGTGTGTGTGTGTGTGTGTGTGTGTGTGTGTGTGTGTCATTTTGGTAAGAAAATCTGATCCTCTGACCATGAAGAATAATGTGTGCTACATCTTTAGTCCAACAAAGAGGGAAAATTTGATCCCTGGAATTAGCGGTTGAACCTTAAAAAAAAAAAAAAATAGTATGTTTTTCTTTCCTCAAATGCGTAGTGCAGAGTCGTAAGAGTGGCTCTTTAGAAGCCTACGCTGTCCAGCCTGCACAGGCAGACGTCTGTGAGTTGCTAAATGCTACGTGCGCGTGTTGCTACATAATGTACAGCAACATTCATAATAGGAGTGTTTTTCCTGGCCTGTATATTCTGCTGTTCTGTTTCACAATTTAGATTTTTAGTGTAGGACTGGTTCCTGTTTTTTGTTTTTTTCTGGATGCATTTTGTCTCTCACACACACACACACACACACACACACACACACACTGACAGTCCAACAAGGGGACCTAGAACAAAGCTGCCTTTTTTTGTTTCATAGCCCCTTTCTATGTCCTTTTCACACTTAGAAATCATTCAGCCCACCGCATAGTTTTGTTTGGCAGACGTCATTTGAGAGCAGTCACACGTGGGAACTGAAAATGTCTTTGGAGCTACGTGTTGGTGGCAAGACTGTAATGTCCTCTGCCTGTCAGTAGACCCACCAATGAGACGTCTGAATGGGAGGGATAGAGGCCACTGTTTTACATTGAAGCTGTCTAAAAGCATTCACCCTTCCTTTTTCTTCTTTCTTTCTTTCTTTCTTTCTTTCTCTCACTCACACACACACACACGCCACCCTTGGGGGCGGAGAAAACGGAAACGTATTAGAAAACACAGCTGCCTCTCACGCAGATGTGCGCACACACACACCAAGTGCTGAGAGAGAAAGGGGGTGAGAGAGAGACAGGTCCGTTGCTGTCACAAGATCTGTGTTTCCCCGCCGCAGCTGCCAATCATCTCTGAGAATAAGCCATCTGTGTCTCATCCTGAGCCAATCAGATGAGAGACTGAAGCCAGCCGGCCTATTGGAGAAGCAAAAGCATTTGCTGCGAGTCCTGTGACCAATTGTGAACACCTGCGGTGACAGCAGACCTCCGCTGTCTGTCTCCTTCTCTGTCACTGCCAACACACACACACTGGCCCATTTCTATCTTGCTGCTCTGTCATTACTCCCCGGCATCCCCTCTTTCCTTCTCCTCCCACCCATTTCCATCCCTTTTGTCCACCCTTTCAGTTTACTTCCCTTTTTTTTTTTTTTTTTTTTTTTTTTAAAAACAGATGTTGCCTTAGGTATTATTTATGTTACACAAACCAAATAAACGGGAGACATTCATTTTTAAAAAGGTTACGCAAACTGCTAAACACGCGCGTTACCGAGCGTGTGGAGAACCTTGGATTTTCTGTCGCTCCTTTTCTTTCATTTTTGAAAAACAAAATGAGATTCTGTTGTTTTTTTGTGGTTGTTTTTTTAGAAGTGAGTGTTTAATACTTAGGCCTTGATACAGTGATTTTGATTAGATAAAACAATGTTCTTTACAATTACCATTTGAATACTGGTCTGTTTTTATTGTGATCATGACACTTCTTGATGCCCCGGCCTTGGATTACCACGTAGTAGAACAAAAAATCCATTCAGATACATTTTGGTGCGATTGCTTTTGCCTTCCTGGTGGGGTTTCCAAACCCAGCACCGTTGGCTTTTTTGGAGGCATCAGATTGTACCAGGCAAGCTCAATCAGTAGATGAATTTGAGTGGATTTTAATTCCTAAATCCAGGTTTGGATTATATATCTTCTTAGACTGTTATTGAGAAGTCTGTTTTTTTTACTGTTGGGGAAAATTGCAAAAAATATATATACTGATTATCATAATTGAGGCTAAATACAAGAGCTAAACCATGCAGATTGAAGGAGCGGAGATGTTTTTTGGACAATGATTCGATTAAACCAACAAACAAATGTAGCAATATCAACAACAGGTCTTGTTTTTGCCCAATTTTGTTACACTTTTATGCAACTTTAATAAAAACATGTAAAATGGACTTGTTTGTCTTTGTTTGTTTGTCAATTCTCTGCTTCAGAAAACCCAGAGAGCTTATACAGATGATTGACAGTATATTAGCTTGTATTTAGTTCAATCAAGCCTCTAAATTTGATGTTCGTTAGTGCGTGCTTTTTTAATTTGTAAAGATATAGCAGGTAAATAATTTAAACTTTTAACAATGCCTCTGTTGCATTAAGTGTCCCTGAAACTCAGTGACCAGCATACACAATATGAGGAAATGGAGTGCAGACATAATTAATGGCATTAGTTCCACCTGTATGTTTCCTGCAATGACATGCCAAAATGTCTGCCATGAAAAATGCCTTTTGTCCAAATGATGTGAATTCCACTATTATCATCTCAGTGGCTCTCTGGACATTTTGTGTTACGTTGGTGCCATCTTGTGGTTGATTGCAGTATGCATTTATACCACGACGCAAGAGTGGGTCTGTATATTGTGTTCTAATTACAGAGAGATAGATGGGCACTTTATTAATCCCACAAGGGGACATTTGTTGTGCTACAGCAGCATTTATAGGTACAGAGAAATTGTAAAGCAAAGCGAAAAAAACAACAGAGTACAAATATTAAGTATAAAAAGTAAGAATGATCCTTAACACCTGTAGCATGATGGCTGAGTCCCGTAAGCTAATGATGCTTCCAAGAGTCAAGATAGAGATATAGATAGATAGATAGATAGATAGATAGATAGATAGATATTGAATACACATTCAAAATGTGCATCGTTTTAGTTGCGTTTCAATTTAAGCCTGTAATCATTGTATTTGTTGTAATGCATGTGTAATATGACCTGAGAAGTCTGGGCAGCCTCATTATATTATATTATATTATATTTTACTATATTATAGTAATATTGAGATTGAAAAAAAGGGAGCTACGCGGTACTTTTTATAAAGTCCAGCCTATTGGTTAGTTCTGCTTGTTAGCAGCACTAAACCGGATTATGATTGGTCCACTAAACCTGCTTTAGCGTTTTGATTGGACACGCGACGTCTGGGGGGAGGAGCTCCTGTCGGTCATCCCGGGTCCTGCATTACGGCTCGACGCTGATTGGTTGGATTCACGGGTTGTAGAGTCCGGCAAAGTGTCGAACTGAAGACTTGAAGTGAAGAGGAAGTACTTTTTTTTTTTTTAAATTGGAAATATAGAAAATGATGCTTTAACTTTCTAGTGCCGAGCAGCGGGAGAAGGTGAGCAGACTCGTGTGGTCACTGTCATGTCCGGTGAAAAAGAGGGTTTTCTGTTTACAAACAGCGTCGCATACACGGACGGATAACGTTACTTATAATCCATGTACAGTTGGAAGATACGGTCAGAATGAAAGCTACCCGGGCGGTGCTTCAACGTACTTTATGACATTTAAACGCTGATTATATTGTCAACTACCAAACGCACAGAGAACATATTCGTGAATGAATCAACTTGAACGGTGTTGACAGTGTGCGGAGTCGTTTCGTCGCTGTGTGGTTTCAATGGCTAGCTAGTGATGCACTTGACTTCATGGTGCTTTTTATGCCGGTAATTTGACGTGAAAAAGGGGCAACGAGTCTCGTTAAATTAATTTGGGGTTGTAAGTAAAATACACCGGAAGTATAACAGCTTCGGACTTAGTTCGGCTCGTTATTTTTAGTGTAGACACCGCCGTCGAGTTCATAACGTTCACTGTTTTACTGTATGACATCACGGAAGCTACCAGTGGTCAAGAGAGGCTCAACTGTAACAGCACTTCCGGTGGGTAACAAAATAAAAGTCCTGTTAATGAACGTAGAAAAAGTTTGGAGGATAGAAAAAGTTTGGAGGATAGAAAAAGTTTATGCTCCGTTTGGAGTTATTTTCCTTAACGCGCTACTAACAGCAGTGTGAGATGAATCATTTTAATTGTGTCTTTTTATTTGCCTTCCGCCAAACAAAATCGTTAAATGTCCCGTCTTGTGCTGTTTTTCTAGTTTGCTTGACAGATCCCCGGAAGCCATACGGCAGCTCGATGTGCCGCGGGCTTCACAATGTTATTCTATTCAAATTATTTTCCAACTGCACAGTAAGCTACAATCCACAACCAAACCACGGACACGTCTCTGTTTTACCAACAGAGTTGTATCCCTTTGTCTCCTCTCTGTTCTCTTCTTTGTGGCTTACTATAATCAACCCATCTGCAGTGTCGTCATTCGTCAACATCGCCCATATTGAGCAAAATAACACAAGTGAATGATAACAGTGTGCAGCAGAAGTGAAAGCTAAAATAGCTATTTTAAACCTATTGCCCACAATATTTCTAAATTTAGTTATCTGTCATTTTAAATGTGAGTACATTTACTTCTTCAGTAGTGGATGCATAAGATGTGTTGTTTATACCAAGTATTGCAATTGTGATACTTTTGACGATAAGCCTTTTTACATGTTTCTTTTGCAAACTAAGACATGCGACACCTTTGCAGTTGTGCGTGTAATTTTTAGTTAACTCTTAAGAAAAAAGCTAAATAAATACATAATATGAAGTAATATGAAGCCATTTCACTTAGAATATTTAGACTTTTGGTGGTGGGAAAAATGTTAATACACAACCAGAGACCTCATCATCATTCAACAAATAAACAATAATGTCTAAATAAATGAACAAAAGTTGGAACAAATGAGTAACCCAGTTTACCAAATGACAATCACTGATCAATGAAGCAGCTCAACAAGAGACGGAGAGGTCAACACACCGTGGTATAGTCTGTGTGTGTGTCTCTGCATGTGTCTCAGCCAGCCAATGCCCGCCCAACCCCATGTGAGGGAGCCGGAGGAGGAGATGGAGGCAGAAGGAGAGTCGCAACTCCCCGAGGCCAACGGAGAGGTGGAGCAACCGCGAGAAGATGACAGAGGAGGAGGAAGAGGAGAGGACACCATGGAGGACAGCGCAGAGGAGCGGGACAGCGACTTGGACGATAGTGAAGATGAGGAAGAGGAGGAGGAGAGTTCAGGTAAAGCGAAGTGAAATGTTGTCTGATTGAAGGCAATGTCACTTTTTTTTTCACTGTTTCTGTGTGTCTCCCTGTCCTCTGAAGAGATGGATGATGAAGACTGTGAGCGGAGGAGAGGAGAATGTCTGGATGAGATGCTGGATCTGGAAAAACAATTTCAAGAGCTGAAAGACAAGTAAGTGGAAACAGGAGGGGTGAAGAAACTTGACACTGTGCCTCCCCCCTGGTGTGATTTGAAATAATCTCAATCATTAGAAGAATTGCAGAAGGAAAGAAAGAAAGAAAGAACGGAAGACTGACTTCACTGTGTGATTGCAGGTTGTTTCGGGAGCGGCAGAACCAGGTGAAAGTGAAGCTGGACGAGGTGCTGACAGGGAAGGCTGGAGAATACAGAGAGCCACTGGTCGCACTCCAGGAAAGCATGCAGATACAAACACAAGTGGCTGGTAAGTTAAAACACACAAGGACGCACTGCATGATGCACACAATATGGGCCAATATTAGGACACACGGCACAATTAGCAACATGTGTTTTCCAGCAGAGATAATCGTGTGTAGGGTGTAGATAGGAGTTTTCTTAATTTAATTCAATGTGGCTTTCTTGGCATGAAAGTAAAAAAAAAAAAAATAAAAATAAAAAAAAAAACTATGAATATAAAAAAAAAAAAAAAAAAAAAATAATATATATATATATATATATATATATATATAAAAAGTATTTTTTAAATTTTCTCAATGTCTCAAATAGCATGATACAACACCTGGCCACTGGATGGGGCTGTTCAACAAACATTAACCTCTGTAGCAGAGTGAAGGGAGTTAGGAGGACCCACTGTGCTAAAATATAATCTACGGATTGAAGGGTGAATGTGTGCATAAACTATAAATTGATTAATTTCGTCTTTCTTAGGGAATGTCTTACTTCGACACATAAAACAATGTCTTGTTGTTAAGTTTCCTATTCTGCCAATTCACAGTTCATTTAGCTGTGTTCAATAGGAAGCGGTCTGTGTTGGGCAGCTTGAAATCTTTGCTTCATTAGTGAGTGGGTGTTAAATTACAGCTAGTAATACAAAGGTAGTTTAAAAGATTGACATGCAGTCAAACATGATAATAACAAAATAATCTAAAAGTCGCCCCACTCTGTCTTTAACTGCAGGAGTGTACAGAGAGCTGTGTCTCCAGGTGATCCAACACAAGTACGAGTGTGAACAACAAGGAGCAAGGCAGCACCTGGAGGTAATACACACACAAATACACTATGTACTGCACACGGACACTCGCACAATGCTATTGGACAAAATCACTGCAAACCTAAAAACTGTGTATGGATTTCTGCCTGCGGGTTACAGAGTGAGCGGACGCTGCTGTTTGATGCCATGAAGTCCGAACTGCTGGAGAAGATAAGAAGACTGGACGAGGACAGACAGAATATAGACATCACCTCGGGTACAGGCGACAATGTGTCATCAGTGTCAGTCTTGTTGATTTAGAGAAGAAAAATCTACCGTATACTTTAACTGCCATTACTAATGTTTGGACAAAACACTGTTGATATCTTGCTAAACATTAGAACTGTGGTTACATACATTCTGCAAAGTTACGAGATAAATAAAAACAGTGGAATGCAATGAAAGATATATCTTCTCATTCCAGAGTGGAGCGATGAGATGAGGGGCAAGAAGTGTAAAAGGAAAAATCTGCTGAGTGGGTCGGAGAGGAAAAAGAAAGTTGCTCTGGTTTCAGGTAAAACTTCACCTTTTCTGATTTATTCGTCACCTGCTGATCTCATCGTTCTCCCGTTAGCTTTTATTCTGACACAAGCAGTATGTGCAAGTCTATTTGCCTCCTGCGGACAGGCGGCTCAACTCGACTCCCTCTCTGTCTCACAGGGCCGTTCATCGTCTACATGTTGAGAGACATCGACATCCTTGAAGACTGGACCGCCATCAAGAAGGTAAAACATGACGCGATTTCAGCTCCCACTATTCTTCACCTTAATAGAGTGTAAGGTCAACACTGAAATTACACTCAATTAAGGTAAATAGATTCCCTAATGTCAACGCTACATACACTCATACACCACAAGTAACCAGCTAAATGAATCATAGTTGCATATATATTATGGTAAATTTGTCTCTGTGTGTTTTTCAGGGCAAAGCAGCACTGTCACCATTAAAGAAGAAAGTTGAAAGTGAGTCTGCCCGTCCACCTGTTTGCATAAATATACAAACTCCATTTCTTTCTTCCTGTAAGCCCTTTCTCATTTTGTCTTTCAGAACGGTGATAACAGGAGGATCTAACTGAAGACCAGCAGCAAAAACCAAACTTCACACACACACTCACAACATTCCCAGCTACTTCCACGAACAGTGTTGTCTCCTCAAGACCCAGAAGATGGTTGTGTTGTTATTTTCCACGCTTTTGACCCTCTGCGACCAACCACCCACCCGACTGCTTGTTTGTTATCTATTGCTATTTAAAATAAGTTCTTAATGATGTGACAACCATGTATTTATAGAATGATTTATAACTGTAATTAAAATTGTAATCTTTTGTGACACAAGGTTTCGCGTGTTCTTGCAATCGATTCCTGCTCCAGGTTTGGAGGCTGTAAAAACGGGACCACAGCCAGGATTTTACAATTAGTGACGTCATCACCCACCTAAAGAGATGTTTTGAACTTTTTAAATTTATTTAAAAATCACACTATATATATTACATAGGAGTCCGCTCAGCAGAATGGTCCTGAGTCTGGTGGACCTCTCACTTCTGCCAGGCTCAGAGCAGTTAGACTATTAGATTAGATTAGACCTAATTATAACTTCACACAAATACATCACTTACTGGAATGATGTCACACGCTCACCACACAAACCAGAAACATAGCTGGCACTAAGAAAAGAAAAGTATACAGATGCAAACTACCCAACCACAGTGAGTGATTGGACTCTGAAAGACAATGTGTGACCATAACCACAGTCTGGAAAGAGAGAAGGACTGGTTCACATTTTCAAACACAATGTCAAAACTACAGAAATATTAAATTTGAAAAAAAAGACCTGAAGTCTGACAGAAAGGGAGAAATCCCCCCTGGTTCTGGAGGAAAAGAGTGTGCAGTGTTGGCCGGTTATCAAGAGGGATTCAGGGTGTTGTTGTGGGCTACTCACCTGTCTCGACCTCCTTCTGTGAGTCCCGTGCTCCTCAATCTGGTCCAGCTTCTCTGCTCGTTTATTCTAAAAACACATAACCGGTCCACTCAGCCTCTCTGGTCCTGTTACAAACAGTCCCGGTTTCTCTGTCCCAGTTCAAAATGTTTCCAACAAAATGAGAACCTACAGTAACAGCAAGGCCCCACACACACAAGTCACTGGAGGTAGACAACGTTGTAAAGTTCCGAAAGTGAAAGCTGAAGGATCCGCCGTTGTAGCATGTAGCACGTTAGCTCGACACAGCTAACACATGTACCTGCACGGGTGTGTTTGATTTGAGTCACTTAGCGCGCTCTCCTGGTAGTGCATTACACCAGTGATTTATGCAGTGGTGTATAAAGTACCCAAAAGCCATACTTGAGTAAAAGT